GTGTATATATATATTAGAGGCCCGGTGCACGAATTCGTGCAGGGGAGGGGGGGGGGGTCCCTCAGCCTGGCCGACGATCGGGGCTGTCTTGCTCAGTCCCAATGGGGGCCAGCCAGCCGGGGGAGGTTGGCACTGACCACCAGGGGGCAGCTCCTGCATTGAGCATCTACCCCCTGGTGGTCAGTGCACATCATAGCTACCGTCCAGTCATAACGGTCATTTAGGCCAGTGGTCCCCAACCTTTCGGACCTCATGGACCACTGATGGCGACTGCTGGCTTAGGCTTTTATAGATATAGATATAGATATAGATATAGATATAGATATATACTGCTGCATAGTATTTCATGGGGTAAATGTACCACAGCTTTTCTTTTAAATATATTTTATTGATTTTTTTACAGAGAGGGAGGGAGAGAGTTAGAAACATTGATGAGAGGGAAACATCAATCAGCTGCCTCTTGCACAACCCCTACTGGGGATGTGCCCGCAACCAAGGTACATGCCCTTGACCGGAATCGAACCTGGGACCTTTCAGTCCGCAGGCTGATGCTCTATCCACTGAGCCAAACCTGTCAGGGCTGTACCACAGTTTTTTTATCCACTCATCTACTGATGGGCACTTGGGCTGTTTCCAGATCTTAGCTATTGTAAATAGGGCTGCTATGTACATAGGGGTACATACTAGTACATTTTTTAAATATATTTTATTGAATTTTTACAGAGAGGAAGGGAGAGGCATAGAGAGTTACAAACATTGATGAGAGAGAAGCATCAAACAGCTGCCTCCTGCACACCCCCTACTGGGGATGTGCCTGCAACCAAGGTACATGCCCTTGACCGGAATTGAACCTGGGACACTTAAGTCCACAGGCCGACGCTCTATCCAGTGAGCCAAACCGGCTAGGGCAGTACATTCTTTCTGATTGGTGTTTCAGGTCTCTTATATGTTCCCAGAATGGATCACTGTGTCAAATGGCAGTTCCACATTTAATTTTTTGAGGAAATTTTTTTTTAATACTTTCCATAATGGCTTTATTGGTCTGCATCCCCACCAGCAGAGTATGTACCAGGGTTCCATTTTCTCCACATCCTCGCCAGCAGTTATTTGTTGATGGTAACCATTCTGACAGATGTGAGGTGATACCTCGTTGTTTTAATTTGCATCTCTCCTGATGATCAGTGACTTTGAGCATTTTTTCATAGGTCTCTGGGCCATCTGTATGTCCAGTTTGGAGAAGTGTCTATTTAGGTCCTTTGCCCATTTTTTATTTGGGTTGTCATTTTGTTGAGTTGTATGAGTTCCTTATATATTTTGGATATTAACCCTTTATCAGATGTATCACTGCCAAATATGTTCTCCCAAACAGTGGGCTCCGTTTCATTTTGTTGGTTTCTTTTGCTATGCAGCTTTTTATTTTTATGTAGTCCCATGTGTTTATTTTTTCCTTAGTTTACATTGCCCTAGGAAATGTACCTGTAAACATATTGCTATAAGAGATGTCTGAGATTTTGCTGCCTATGATTCTAGGATTTTTGTTTCATGGCTTACATTTAAATCTTTTATCCATTGAGTTTATTCTTGTGTATGATATAGGGTGGTCTAGTTTTTTTTTTGTTGGTTTTTTTTTTTTTTGCATGTATCTGTCCAGTTTTATAACACCATTTATTGAAGGACTGTCTTGACTCCATTGTATGTTCCTGCCTCCTTTGTGAAATATTGAGTGTAATGGCTTGGGTCAATTTCTGGGGTCTCTGTTCTGTTCCATTGATCTATATGCCTGTTCTTGTTCCAGTATCAGACTGTTTTGAAAACAGTGACTTTGTAGTAAGCTTGGTATCCGGTATTATGATCCCTCCAACTTTGTTCTTCTTTCTCAAGATTGTTGAGGCTTTATTTAACAAACTTTTAACAGTAAAGCAGGCAATCTACATTCCCAAGGATTCAGAGAACTGCAACATGGGGCAGAATGTAGGAAGCTTTTATAGAATAAAAAATAAGCAACAAAGAAGAAATTGGAGGCCTAGAGTTGGCTTGGCAATTTGGAACTGGCTTGCTGGTTATAGTACATTTCTGGTCAAGCGAAGACTTTCCAGGGACACAACCTTGGGCCAAGAAATTTATTTCAACAGCCCCCACTCCCTTTTGGTCATCCTCTCGACCATTCAAAAGGTTTGTGTTTATTTTTAATGTACTAGTGTGGCTCTAAAACTTTTGAGAGAACACAGTAGCAACCATTATTAATACCCACAGTTTGGAGAGTGCTCCTGAGCCAAGATTCCCATATCCCAAACCAACTAGAATCAAGTCAAGAAATGATCCCAAAGAGGAGGATACTTTTTTAAGGCAGTTGTCTTGTTTGTGTATTTCATGTAACTGTCTGCTTCCCCAGAATTATTCTGCAAGCTTGTTTTAGAGAAACTGAGGCATTAGAAATTGGAGAAGTATGTGTTGGAAGTTGGATTACCCTCCTTTGTAATGGCCTGATGTGTGTGAACAGTGGCATCTTCCTAGGTTAAGGGAAGTAAAAGGTTGACTGAAGAATTATAAATACCTTTATGGTGTAAAAGTTAGGGAATGGATGGTCAAAGAGGGAATGTCTTGATCCTCCTGGGAAGCAGCAGTCTACCTCAATGTTGGCTACTTCTCTTCCTAGTCAATTTGATTTTGAAGTGTATATATTGTTTACAAAGTACCAGAAGTTAGGTAGAGCCTTCTTCAGTTATGAAATATACACTAAGGTTTGACACTTTGAAATTTGGCAGTGATGTCAGTAGTCAAGAGTACGTAGGATCTTTTCCATGAATTTCACTTTAGCAAAAGGATCAGAGTAAAACAATAACTGTCTGTAAATGACAAAAGACTATATAATTGACTTGACAAGGAAATGTTATTTCTGTGATGTAACAAAATACCAGGATATACCTGGTTTTTAGGAATTTTATACAATTTCTGGAACCACTTAACTTATACCCATACAAATATAAACTAAGAAGGTTAAATAAACAACATTTCTTGTTTAACATTTCTAAGTTGACCCTTGAACAACATGGGTTTGAACTGTGTGAGTCTACTTATACGGTTTTTTTTCTTTTTTTTATTGCTTAAAGTATTAGAAAGAGTAGTACTTTTTTTTTCAATACTGTAAATGTATTTTCCTTTCTTTTCTCTAGCTTACATTTTAAGAAAATACAGTATGTAATTCATATACTTTTTATAACATACGAAATCTGTGTTAACTGTTGTTATTGGTAAGGCTTCTGGTCAATAGTAGGTTACTAACTTTTGGGGGAGTCAAAAGTTATAAATGGATTTTCAACTGCACAGTGGAGGGGTCGAAAGGGATCAGCCTCCCCCCTAACCCTTTTTGGAACGTCTCAAGTTAGTTCGAGGTCAAAAAGGCTTTAGAATATGATTTGGCGGGGCTTTAAGTTAATTTTGGTAAGATAAAACCTTTGCTTCCCAGGTAGATTCCTTAAAAGCTAGAAAAAAAAACTTTATTTGCAGTTTCTTAGGATCAGACCAATAGACTAAGAAAAGTTTGTCCTTTTAACAGAAAAAATATTCTAATTTTGTACCAGTGTGCTTTGTTAAATTGTTTTTTTAATCCTCAGCTGAGGATATTTTTTCCATTGATTTTTTTTTTTTTTTTTTTGAGTGGAAATGGGTGAAGGGGAGAGAGAAACATATATGAGAGAGACATTGCTCAGTTGCCTCCTGACCAGGGCCCGGGATCAAACCTGCAAACAAGGTATGTGCCCTTGAGAGGGAATCAGACTGACATTCCAACCACTGAACTATGGCTGGTCAGGGCTGTTTCTTTTTCTTTTCTTTTTTGCACCAGTGTACTTTTGATATTAAAACTAATTTTTTAACAGCTTAAATCCATTCTAGTCTTAGTCAGCTTGGTCACACAGAAAATTTCTTTTCCACATTCTACAACTTCTTTATATCCATTTGGGTTTTGTCTTATGTTTCCTCTCTTGACCAGGAGAGCTGACTTTGGTAAGAATTCTCACTCTTCACCAGATTCTGCTAATTTCCCCAGCATCCCATTTGCAGGCTCCTTAGTGAGTAGAGTTTAAAGTAGAGGGTATAGCTCTGATATCAACCAAAATTTGGCAAGGTTTTCCTTTTAGTTTCCCCTGGCTGTTTAAGGGAGTCACATCAGTTTGGGGGAGAGCCCATATGGGAGTCCTCCTTTGAGAGTTGATATGAGAGTGTTGATGTTGGTAGAGAAGGATTTGGCAACCTTCAAGGACACTTTCTTCCACTGTCCCAGCTGATTGCAAATGAGACACTGATTTTAGGGCCAGTATCTTGATGGCTTTGGGGGTGTTGCAGGGCCACTAATTTGGTAGACGTTTGTTTATGACCTTATGGTCCTCTCCAGAGTGAAGAGATGATTCAGTTAGAGTAATAGTGGAATGTGAGGATAGAGGGGAATAGGAGTCACATCAGTCTTGAGTTAGGTACGTCTTGTGTCTTTTTAAATTTTTTAAAAAATTATTACTGGTTTTAGAGAGGAAGGGAGAGGGAACCACCAACCAACCGCCTCCAGCATGCCCCCCCACTGGGGACCAAGCCTGCAACCTGGGAATGTGCCCTTGACCAGAATCGAACCCGAGACCCTTCAGTCCAAAGGTTGACGCTCCATCCACTGAGCCAAACCAGCCAGGGCACGTCTTGTGTCTTTAATTTTTCATTTAGCCTTTTGGAATTTTGAATCCTTTGCGGGGGGTGGGTTCTGCATACCAACTAAAATAGGCATTCCATTCTGGTTGATCTGGAAACCCTTACTTTCATGTGTACTTCGTAAGGAAATGATCTTATCTAATTAGAACATTCGCCATAATGGTCATTGTAATGTTAGGTTGTTGCAGTAAGAGTTGCCATTTTTGTAAATATCTACAGTTGATAATTTTGTATGGTCCTCAAATGATGTTATAAATATCCATATGTCCCTTAGCAGAAAAATGGCTCCCCACCTCGAAGCCAAATGAATATCTAAGAGGGAAATGCCACTGGGTTGGGGATTGTGTGGTGTTTTACAGTGTACCTCACTGGAATTTTTCTTCAGTTTAGCAGGTGAATTAATTTCAATCGAATGTATTCCACAACCAACTTATCCTAGCACAGAAGGCTTAGATTTAGTGGTGAGTACTCTAACGTCTTACAAGTGTTTGACCTGTGTCCACCATTTTTCAGCTTTGGCTTCCGAGATTCCTATTAGCAATAGATTTATTATTCCTTTCCTGAGAAGCTTTCTTTATAGTGTCAGACGCCCTAATGGCTTTTACTTGTCTGGTGTATGCCTACTTAGATTTTGTTGTGCCATTGGTTAAAACAATCTTAATTTAGTTCCCCAAGTCTCCCAGTAGTTTAGTTTATGCTGTAGGCTTTGAGTTTCCTAACAGCTACCACTAACCGCAGACTTCCACTATAACTGTCCTGGAACCTTTCCGGGAACAATATTTTTTTTAAATAAAGTGTTTAGATTGGAGAGCTACACACAAGGGAGTGGAGCTCAAATCCAAGAGTGACTTACCAATGGCCCTCAGCTTTGACGAGAGGAACAGTGAACTCAAAAGGTTCAGTGGGCTTCTCGCCTGTGTGTCTTGTCCTGCAGGCCATTAGCAGTCAACTTCCATCCTTGTCACCAAAAACTGTTTAAAATGATTAAAGAAGACAATTTAGGTGATTCAAACAAACTTTATTTAACACTTGCTGAAGCAGGCAGTCTACAGTGCCGGGATCCTAAGCACTGGGCAGAGGCAGGAATCTTTTAAAGAATAAGGAATAAGAAAGTAAGTATAGAGCCCAGAGTTGGCTTGGTGTTTGGCTGGCTGGTTACAATATATTTCTGGTCAAGCAGAGCATTTATAGGGACACAAAATTTATTCAAAGTTTGGTTTGCTGATGTGGTACCCCAGGCAGGAGTAGTCTTCATTTGGGCCTAGAAATTTATTTCAACAAAATTCAATCTATGGCCTGCTTTTACACAGCCTCAGAGCCAACAGTGTTTTTCACATTTTTAAAGGCTTGTGGAGGAGAAAAAAAGCAACAGATCATATGTAGTTCACCAAGCCTAAAATATTTACTGTCTGCCCCTTTACAGAAAAGCCTTCCTTGCTTAAAGCCATCTGTGCCTGTGATTAAATAGGAATGACTTGCACTCCCACTCCCACTGAAGCAGGGGTATAAACCCTCTCATACATGCAGTTTGCTAGGGCAGGGACACTAATGTGGTTGCAGCAAGTCTTTTTTTAGTGCAGATTGGGGGTGAGTAGGTGAGCCAAGCCTTGGGAGCCCAATTTCTGAGGACTTCACAGTAAATCTGAACAATAATAAAAGACGAAATATAAGTGTGAAAACTTGAGGTGCTTCCTTTCCACAGCATATCTAGCCTAGTAGAGTGTGGCATGTATGAGATCAGGCAGCGACTGTTCAACAAAGGGCAGACAGTTGCATGGTGTGGGTAAGCTTGCTGCACTCTTCATTTGTTTTATCACTTGGGAATGAGATTCCCCAATAAATTAATTAAATGAAAATTGAAAATGGTGAAAATTGTTCTCAACTTTTTGGTGATTATATACAAGACTCATGCTAACTTAAGCATATTGTTTATGAATAAGCAATTTTCATTAATAAATGAGGCCACAATTTTAATAAATATGCTATTATAAATTTGAGTATTTTGAAAGCTTTAATGATACCATACCAAGTTCTTATCTTAGTATATATGTTTTTTGCCTGAGAATAATTCACCTAAAAGTTGGGACTTTATGTCAAGGAAGGAAAGCCACCTTCCCCCTACCCATCTCCCACAGACATAGCTTTTAATTTAAGTGTACTTCATACAAGTTCTAGGTGTTTTGGCTCTATCTTATTCTTATGTGCCTTATTTTTAAAAAATAGTTTCTTAATTACCAAGTAGCATACAGAAGTAACACCAGGTTGTTAAAAATGTACCACAACTCTTTGTGAAGATAAAATACAATTTTCTTCTTTGGTAGACACAGGTTTTCGGATCTTCATTTAATTTGCTAGAAAAAATAAGTTATTTAATAGATCAATACATTTAAAGTCTTCTCCCATTCATACTCAGCTGTCTGGCACTAGAAACTAGTAATAGAAGGCTCTTTTATTAAAATTAAGAGGAATTTACCTTTGTGTACCTGAAAATGGAATGGTTGCTATACCATTCAGAAAAAAAAGTCACATTATAAATATCCTCTTTCAAGGGCTTTTTCCAGCTTACCAGGCTGTTCAAAATGAATAAGTCTAAAGTAGAATTACTATTAACCAGGAGGATTCATCCAGTCAAACTGTTGGAAGTTAAATTTTGTTAACATTAGAAATGTTTAAACATGCTAAATGCTCACAAGACTGAGATACACACACCGTTGAAAATTTTTATAAACTGGAGAACCAAGATGGAGTTGTAGTTAAACTTGGAATTAACTGCCTCCCACAACCACATCAAAATTACAACTAAAATACAGAATAACTATCATCACCTAAAATCTGGCTGAATGAAAGTCCTACAACTAGAGAAGTAAAAAAGAAAGCACATCGAGACTGATAGGTGGGGGCGTGGGACAGGCTGGCCCTGCACCCACATGTGGCATTTTTTAATTGGGAGGGATATCTTGGCTGCAAAGGCCTCCCGTGAAGAGAAGTCCCTGGTTTTGGGTGTTATAAAAACCAGCAGGGATTGTGGCTGAGTGATGTGGAGGCTGCTGGAGACCAGGCACTTCCTCTTAAAGGGCTTGCAAATGGTCTTACTTGGATTCACTCCCTCTGAGCTCCAGTGCTTGTGGGGGATCCAGGATCATATGAGGAGAAACTGGACTGACATCGGAGCAATAATTCAGGGGCAACTTTCTCCCAGGCAAGGTTGCTCACAGGGGTCATTCATATGCTGAGATCTCACCCATCACTGAGCCCACTGGCAGATGCCATATCTGAGCCTCCATCATGGCTCACTGTTCGGACCACCCTGGTGATTCCCTGAAACCCTGCCTAACCCAAGCTATTTGCAGCTGCTTTTCCATATGAATGGCCTGTCCTGGCTCAGGCTTCAGACTCTCCTAAAATCAAATAAGTAGCAGCTGGACTCAGTGTACCCCATACCTCTCAACAAGTGGCCACAGGCCTGGCACTAGCAGCAGCCTGCCTTGGTTCACAATTTGGCCTCCTGGGCACCTTCAAGCCCAATACAGATAGCAGCCATTGTAGATCACTCTGTAGCTTGTGCCAGGTGGCCCTAGGCAGAGCATAGGCAGTGGCTGACTTTGCATCTCCCAGGAGGCCCCAGAGCCAGTGGACAGCTTCAGACCACACCAGATTACAACTCTACCACATCCACAAGTGACACACTCAAGGGGCAGAGTCAGTGAGTACCAAAGCCCACTAAAGCAAGTCCTGATCCACAGGGGTGTCTCCTGCACAGCAGCTCTTCCATTGTAGTCACAGGTGATCCTCACAGCCAATCAGCCTAGGGATCAATTCCTCCCAGTGATGCCAACAGCAATCAAGGCTCAACTACAAGACAGTGCACCTAGAATACCCAGATCGGGTAACGGGAGGCTGGGCCCTACAGGACACCTACTGTGCAAGGCAACTTTACCAATTCCAGGAGACATAGCAGCTCTACCTAATATGTACAAACAAACAGAAGCAGCCAAAATGTGGAGACAAACACGTCACAAATGAAAGAATAGAAATCTCCAGAAAAAGAACTAAGTGGAAAGCAAGCAAACTACTAGATACAGAGTTCAAAACAATAGTTATAAGGATGCTTAAGGATCTTAATGAGAGCTTCAAGGGACTTAGTGAGAACATCAAAGACATGAAAAAGGACCAAATTAAGCATACACTAACTGAAATGAATAATTTACAGGGCATCAATATTAGAGGATACCAAAAATCAAATCAGTGATTTGGAATATCAGGAAGCAAAAATCACCCAATCACAAGAGTAAAAAGAAAATAATCAAAAAATATAAAGAGAGTGTAAGGAGCCTCTGGGATAACTTCAAGGGTACCAACATTTGCATTATGGGGGTGCCAGAAAGAGAAGAGAGAGAGCAAGGTATTGAAAACCTATTTGAAGAAATGACAGAAAGAAATACCCTTACAATTCCAGGAAACACAGAGTCCCAAACAAGACGAACTCAAAGAGGCCCACACCAATACATCATAATTAAAATGCCAAGGGTTAAAGACAGAGAATCTGAAAAGCATTTACCTACAAGGAAGCACCCATACCACTGTCAGCTGATTTCTCAACAGAAACTTTGCAGGCCAGAAGGGAGTGGCAAGAAATATTCTAAGTGATGAATAGCAAGGACCTATAACCAAGATTACTCAGCAAAGCTATCATTGAGAATTCAAAGTCACATCAAGAGCTTCACAGACAAGAAAAAGCTAAACAAGTTCATCACCAAATCAGTATTACATGAAATGTTGAAGGGTATTCTTTAAGAAGAACAATAAAAAATATGAACAAAATGACAATAAATACATATCTACAACAATAGAATCTAAAAATCAAAATAAACAAGGAATCTAATGAACAAAATAAACTGATGAATAAAATAGAATCAGAGGCATAGAACAGACTGATGAATTTTGGGGGGGAATGGGGAGGCAGGAAGAGATTAACATAAGAACTTATATGCACACATGCATTACCTATAGACAGAACTGGGTGGAGTAGGAAAAGGGGGACATCTGTAAAATTCTCAAATTTTTTTCCCCCAAAGACAAATAGCCACTCAATGGCTTTATGTGCCCACACAATCGTAGTTATTGAACATACATGTTACAGCTGTAAGGAAGTTATATTAAAAAGTCTTCTAGCCCTAACTGGTTTGGCTCAGTGGATAGAGCGTCGGCCTGTGGACTGAAGGGTCCCAGGTTCGATTCCCGTCAAAGGCATGTACCTTGGTTGCAGGCACATCTCCAGTGAGGAGTGTGCAGGAGGCAGCTGATCGATGTTTCTAACTCTCTATTCCTCTCCCTTCCTCTCTGTAAAAAATCAATAAAATATATTTTTTTAAAAAAATGTCTTCTAAACAGACATGTAAAATGATTCCACCACAATGGTAAAATCATGTCCCAGTCCACAGAAGAGGGAATAATCTGTTTTTCTTCTTTAATCCTTACCCAAGGATATTTTTTCCAATGTGAGACACATCGGTCAGTTGCCTTCTGCACACGGACCAGGGCCTGGACCTGGGAAGAGCCTGCAACCAAGGTACATGCCCTTGACCAGAATCAAACTTAAGACCCTTTGGTCCACAGGCTGATGCTCTGTCCTCTGAGCCAAACCTGCTAGGGCCTGGTTTCCTTTTATATGTAGTGTTACTACTTAATAATGAGTATGGAAAACTAGATTAAAATTTAGCATCACTTGCTCTGGCCTGTGTGCCCAGCTGGAGCGCCGAAAGGTTGCAGGTTCAATTCCCAGTCCCTATCGGGGCACTTGTGGGAGGCAATCAATCAATGTGTCTCTCACATCGATTTTTCTCTCTCTTCCCCCCCCTCCCTTCCTACTCTCTCTGAAAAGCAATGGGAAAAATATCTCTGGGTGAGGATTAACAGCAACAAACAACAATAAAAAACATTAAGATTTAGCATCTCTTAATTTTACAATCTGTTTTAAATTCCAGTCCTACTAAATACTGGCGTATTCTTTTATACAAGTTACTCAACTTACCTTTGCCTTAGTTTCCTCATTTGTGTGAAGGATATGATAATCCCTTCATATAAGATTAAAAGGAATCATATGGATCATCGAATGGATTACCTTTCCTAGTATAGAACCTAAACACAGTCTTAAATTTGTAATTATATGACAGGTTATCTAATCTGTGATTAAAATGTATATTACCTTACAGATAATCTAAGGTATTTAAAAATGGAGTAGCATGTCTTGGACCTAGGGAAAAAATCAAGAGTGGTGTTTGTTTTCTTCCTTTACTCAAAAGTGCCTTCCTTATATCTACTCACAGACAACACAACACATCAGTACCAATATTAATGTGTCTGTTGTGTACTATGAATAGGACACAGGAGAGAGCAAATCACATTCAGCCAGAGAAGCATCATGACTGAACAGCCTCATTTAGGGACAGCAGCTCAAGATCAACCCCAACTGCCTTCCCCTTCCCCCCCGCCCCCCACCAATGCACATAGGCACACGCACACCCTTGCGTCCAGCAATAAGCTTCATGTTTACAGCAGGAAAACATCAGTGCCACCACCTATCCTATCTAATAATAGACAAACAGGGTAATTGACCGTACCTTCACTATGCTTTCCATGGGCTAATCAGCAAAATATGCAAATTAACCACCAACAAAGATGGCAGTTAATTTGCATATGTAGGCGGGAAGCGGTGAAACGAAGACTGAAGGCGGCTCCGGCCGGAGCAGGGAAGGCTTTGAATATGGCTCCAGCCAGAGCAGCGATCAAAGCAGGTCCGGCCAGAGTAGCGAAGGCTTTGAAGGTGGCTCCGGCCAGAGCAGCAATCAAAGCGGGTCCGGCCAGAGCAGCGAAGGCTTTGAAGGCAGCTCCGGCCAGAGCGAAGACCTGGGTCCCCGGTGCCGAAGGAAAACCGGTGCAGGCAGCCAGAGGAAGGGAAGGCCTATTGCATGAATCTTTTCGTGCAACAGGCCTCTAGTACTTTTATAAGGGCACAGGGATAGGAGAGACCCTGTCCTCTACAACTTGGCCCATGGAACATACCTTACACTTCGGTACATATTGTTTTATGTACTTTGTGAAATACAGTAGGCAGGCAGTGTCTACTGACTGTGAAGTGCAACTGGCGCAGCTGAAGCTTTTGACTCTTACCACAGGGGCCGAAAGTACTAGGGGAAAGGTAGCTGGACTAGTATGTCAACACCATCACTCAAAGGGCAACACAAACCGCTATTTCTGCTCCTTGGGCCGCCTTCAGTTCTGCAGCGGCACTTACGTCCAGGTGGAAAAGTGGGAAGGGTAGAATGCTGAGGCCTCAACAACTATCATTCACCATGGTCCCTGGATCAAGCTATAACTTTTACCAAAAGCAGGTTTGAGGTGGATATAGTTAAACTTTAGTGCTGCTCAATGTTACATGTGGGGAAAATGGATACCCAGTTTTTCTACTGGACACACTAAAATATCAGTGTTAGCCCATGAATAATCATGTCTGCTTAAAAGGATTTTCATACTCCAAGTTCATTTTCTTTGTTCTAAAAGTGGGGATTGAGGGTTTTAGGTCCCTGCATCACTTACCTGTAGGGCCCGACCTTTGGTCTCAATGGGGAGAGTAAATGCTGAAATGGCACATATAACACAGACGGATGAGAAAAGACACAGGGCCCCCAGCAACGATGCGCTCATCAGAACCTGCAAGTCACAAAGAATGACTTAATTTATTGTGCCCCAGTCATTTCTAAACTGATCCTTACGTCAAAGGGGATTCACCAAACATATAAATGAAGATCCTTAATAGCCGTTCTCTGTGTTGTGCTTTTGTGGGATTCCTCCATGAACTGGGACGGGTAATATGCATGCACCCACCCTCAGGCAGAGACAAGTCTAAGTTTGCTCAGGCATTTCCAGAGTAAACCAGGCTCCCACCCCCTCTCGCATACCAATGCAGCTTGCTTAACTTCTAACCCTCTCATCCATTCCGTGGACCCCCTCTGCCAAACATCCATTTTCCCTCTCCAATTCTGACAGGATGAACCAGGAGAAAGTTTTTTTGTTTGTTTGTTTTAGAAGAAAGATAAGATAATCTCAGGGTCTCTCTGAAAACATAACGTGTCTTGTCCATTATGCTTCACTGCATGTATGACAAAACCATATGGTGACCATTTTCCCACAGTAAGAATGGATTTCTGTCACTCTACATACATCCTTTGGCCTGGATCCTCACCCTAGTAATGGCAAGCAGGTTCATACACTCCATCTCACATGTCAGTTTCTGCAGGACTGTGCCCCCAAGTTAGCAAACAGCCAGGCACCTGGCAGTTGTCAACTACTCTCACAAAAATGACCTGAAGCCACAGGAGCAGCAAGGCTCTGGTGTCACAGAAAATTGCAATTTGGAGAGGCCTAGAAACTATCTGTTCTAGTCCAACCTCATTGCATTACAGATGAGCCTAGAGTCAGAGCTAAGTGATCACTTGTCCAAAGTCACATACAGACTCCTGACACATAGCATAATGCTCTTACCACTTACGTCCTCCCGAGATAGGCAGTTTGAGAGCCTGTCCTTTGAATAGGCCTGTGGCCTTCCAGAACAGTAAATAATTGCATTTGGCATGTGATAGAACCCATGATATTAGCCTCATTATTTTGTAGTTGGCCTAGGTATCATTGCTGATTTTTATTTCCCAAAATAAAGTACATACAATTTTCCCGAAATAGGAGTTGTATAAGTGTGTGTGTGGGTGTGTGGGTGTGTGTCCCCATCTAAAAGGCAGGGAAACTGGGCTCAGAAAAAGGAAAAGATGCAGAAACCAAGAGACTGGGCAGCCTGAATCATGACCAAACCATATGATAGTTAGGCATGTGTCTAAATTCTACCATTGCTGTCCCTTTTATTATTGGACATCAAAATTCTTACACCCACAAAATGAACTTTAAACTCTCCCACCTCATATCCTTTGCACCAGATTCAAAGTCCTAGGTAGTGTGACACCCTGATGGGTCCGTCGAGTTTAGCTCATAAACTGCTCAACCAGCTGGGATCAGGGACAACAACTGCTTTGTCTTCTTGGTTTCCCTTGAGGGCCACAGGGCTCTGCTTCTGGCAGGACTCGAGCAGTCCAGTGGATGCTACTGGATAGTCTCCCAATGAGTTCCTTGCTAAGTTAACCAGAGTCAATTTCTATTGTCTGCAAGTAAGAATTCTGAGTAATACCTGCTTTAAAAAAATCATCTGGGATCAGATCCTCATCAGATCCTGATCAGATCCTAACCAGAGCTTGGCTGGAGTTCCTAACCAGAACTTTGGCTGGAGATCCTGGCTAGAGGTCCTGACTAGGCTGCTGATCAACTGAAGGCTGTCTTCGTGTCATTCCTTCTTTGCCGACTCCGTCCACACCTTTGGGGACCCCTGGACCTGCTGGGGTTGGACCCCAGCACTCCGGGATCCTTGACTCTCAGAAACTGTGAGAGATAATAAATGCTTCTTGTTTAAAAAAAAAAAATCATCTGGGAAGTTTGTTATAATGCAGGTTTCGGCCCCCACTCCAAATTCACTGGATCAAAAAGACCTGCTAATCTCTACTTCTAAAAGTCAGCCCAGACCAGTGACAAAGAGGACATCTACACTAATAAAGGACAAAGATGCTAATTGACCATACATTCGCTATGCCCTAAGCCACGCCCACCAGCCAATCAGAGCGACTATATGCAAATTAACCCAACCAAGATGGCAGCCAGCAGCCACGGAGCTGGAGCTTGGTTGTCCAGGCAATGGAGGAAGCCAAGCTTCCTGCCTGCCCTGAGCCGGCTGTGGCCTCCACTCATGGCAACAAAGTTTCAATTATAGAAGACAAATCCCAGATACCTGTTTCCGGCCAGCCTGCAAACAGCCATCAGCCCCTCACCCAGACTGGCCAGGCACCCCAGCAGGACCCCCCACCCTGAAGGGGCTGTGGCCAGCCTGCAAACGGCCCTCAGCCACTCACCCAGGATGGCCAGGCACTCCAGTGGGGACCCGCACACTGAAGGGGCTGTGGCCAGCCTGCAAACAGCCATCAGCCCCTCACCCAGGCTGACCAGGCACCCCCACCCTGAAGGGGCTGTGGCCAGCCTTCAAACAGCCATCAGCCCCTCACCCAGGCTTGCCAGGCACCCCAGGGGGACCCCGCACCCTGAAGGGGCTGTGGCCAGCCTTCAAACAGCCATCAGCCCCTCACCTAGGCTGGCCAGGCACTCCTATATAATAAAAGGGTGATATGCAAATTGACCCTAACAGCAGAATGACTGGGAATGACTGGTCACTATGACACACACTGACCACCAGGGGGCAGATGCTCAATGCAGGAGCTGCCCCCTGGTGGTCGGTGTGCTCCCACAGGGGGAGCTCTGCTCAGTCACTAGCCAGGCTGACGGCTGCCAGCACAGCGGTGGTGGTGGGAGCCTCTCCCGCCTCCTCAGCAGCGCCAAGGATGTCCGACTGCAGCTTAGGCCTGCTCCCCACTGGCAAGTGGACATCCCCCGAGGGCTCCCAGGCTGCCAGGGGGATGTCTGACTGCCAGCTTAGGCCCGTTCCCCCAGGGAGCGGGCCTAAGCCAGCAGGTGGTCATCCCCCAAGGGGTCCCAGACTGCGAGAGGGCACAGGCCGGGCTGAGGGATCCCCATGAGTGCACAAATTTTTGTGCACCAGGCCTCTAGTTACCTAATAAAAGTTTCAGTCCAACAAGACAACAATCCTAAAGATTTATACACCAAACAGCCTCAAAATACATCCAGTAGCCCAGTAGCCCTAGCTGGTTTGGCTCAGTGGATAGAGCATCGGCCTGTGGACTGACGGGTCTCAGGTTTGATTCTGGTCAAGAGCACATGCCCAATCCTAGCTGCTTTGACTCAGTGGATAGAACAATGGACTCTGGACTGGAAGGTCCTGGGTTCAATTCTGATCAAGGGCACACGCTCGGGTTGTGGGCTCAATCCCTAGTGGGGGGCATGCAGGATGCAGCCGATCCATGATACTCTCTCATCATTGATGTTTCTATCTCTCCCTCTCCCTTCCTCTCTGAAATCAATAAAAAATATATATATTTTTTAAATGCATCTAGTAAAAACTGAAAGGAGAAAAAGATAAATCTACATGCAGTTGGAGACTTCAGTGCCTTTCTCTCAGCATTTGATAGAAGTAATACAAAATAAGCAGGGATATAAAAAACAAACAAAAACACAAGATGACGCGTCAGCTACCAGAATTTGATTGGAATAGAACACACAGCAACAGCAGAAGATACATTCTTTTCTAGCCCGTGGAGCACGCACCAAGACAGACCATATGCTGGGCCATAAAATAAACCTCAAGAGATTTTAAAGAATTAAAATTATGGAATGGGTTCTCTGACTAAAATGGTATTAAGCTACAAATAAAGATAACAGCAAAACTTCCAAAAACGTTTAAACTGTGGGTCAAGGAAGTCTCAAAAATAAAAATAAAAAATACACTGAATGTGATGAAAATACAACAATATTAAGTTTGTGGGACACAGCTAAAGGGAACAAAAAATACTTAGGAATAAATTTAAGAAATAGGCCTAAGCGGTTTGGCTCAGTGGATAGAGCATCGGCCTGTGGACTGAAAGGTCCCAGGTTCGATTCTGGTCAAGGGCATGTACCTTGGTTGCGGGCACATCCCCAGTAAGAGGTGTGCAGGAGGCAGCTGATCAATGTTTCTCTCTCATCGATGTTTCTAACTATCTCTCTCCCTCTCTGTAAAAAATCAATAAAATATATTTTTAAAAAAGAAATGTATGACATGAAAATTATAACTATTAAGGGCATGAACATTTGAATAAATCTAATTCTTGGAAAAACAGTATTTTTTTATTTTATAACATAATTCTCACCAAAAGTAATCTAACACTGCCCGGGTGGTGTAGCTCAGCAGTTGAGCATCAAGCCAGGAACCAAGAGGCCACTGGTTCGATTCCCAGTCAGGGCACAGGCCCAGGTTGCGGGCTCGATCCCCTGTGGAGGGTGTGCAGGAGGCAGCCAATCAATGATGTTCCTCTCTCATCATGGATGTTTCTATCTATCACTCTCTCTTCCACTGTCTCTAAAAATAAATAAATAAATAAAATATATTTTAAAAAAACAAAGTAATTAACGCTAATGGATTTTCAATCAAAATCCCACTAGGATTTTTAAAAATCAATTTTGGGGGAAAATTGTTTCTGTAATTAATTTGAAAGAAGAAAAAATCTGAAAACGTCTGGGATATAGGAGAGTCTGAGGGAGGTTTTTAGCCTAAGAGGCATTAAGCAAGGTTTCAGACATTAGCAGTGCGATTGATGCCAGAATAGATCCAAGAACCTATGGAAATGTGGTTTATTATAATAGGGGCATAGTAAGTCAATTGAGATGAGCCAAAACACAAGGATGATTAATGGCCTGGGAACAACCAGCTAGGCACTGTTTTGTTGCTTTTTAAAGCTGGATCCTAATTTCAGGCCTTAAGCATAAATTGACTTTCAGTGTTTTAGAAATATGGATAAGCAAGTGATGAAGGCCATTAAGCATGACACAAAACATTAACTCAAATGAAAATAGTTGGTAAAAAAATATTTTAAATTTTGCATGCCAAAAAAATACAAAGATCAAAAAGTAAACCGCAAACAATAAATATCTGTATTATATTAATAAATGGC